TGTGGACAGGAGGATTTGAAAAGCAGACATTTTACTACTGTTTATAACCACTCATTTTCTCACTGTTCACATTTCTCTTAACCAGTTCCCCAGCTTGACCTGGCTCCCTTGTGCTCTGTCCCCCTTTGTGCCCAGCATTTCCAATCGCTGCACAATTTTTCTTCATTTTGGTTTACAGAAAAATTAGCAACATTAGCAAGCCCCTCCAACCTTTCATTATAGAATGGGATTAGGAATTAACCAATGGATCTAAGGGGCCATGCAATTTACATGACAATGCTGTGCCAGTGAAAGGTAAGCATGGAGTCTTGAGGATACACTTCCTGCCAACTACTGCAGTCCACATGTTGCTTACAAGCTGAGTATGGATTGATCGACACCAGGAATACAGTATGAGAAAACCCCCCCATAAAACATAATAGTGCTCTCAGTTTTGTAATCATCCTTGAGAAGAGTAATAAGGACTGGATTTCCTGGGAAGAAATATACATCAGAATGTACAACTTTGGTTTATTTAAATTTGTGGTTTTGTTGGAAAGAAAAATAATAGCATAGCATGACAGGAAAACACCAACTGCTTAGTTTACATGTTGGACAAAGTCAGACACACACAAAATGTTTCCCTGCACCAGCATGCTGGCAGAGAAACATTTACACGCTGCAGTTTTGAAGCTGGGAGGCTTCCACACAAGAATGCTGATATTACTTTAAGAATCAATACTGCTGTAGGAAACCTTTCAGACATTATATTCAGACCTGAACAGTTTTCAATGACTTCCTTGCTAGAAGAAATATACAATAGAAACTACCCATTTTTTTTTCATGCTGTCCTATGCACAGATACAGCTCTTTAAATATAATTTTAATCGTATTTTTTCTATTTTGAAGTTAAAAAGGGTCTGGAAACATTTTTTTCCAAAGTACAAAGAGGCTAATTTTAATCAATAACTACTTTAAAAACATTTGACAATTTTTCACCCTTTAACAGTAACCTTCCAACCTCATGCCCCCTGATTTAATTTCTCTTCCGTTCTTTGTTAGAGCTGGGTTTGGCAAAGGTATATAATGGAACTCTGTCTGCAACCATACTTGTGATATAGAGCAGACTCTCAACCTTCTCAGGGTTGTGACTCCTTACTCAGAAGTAAGAAACATTTTCACAACTTTATATTTACATTAAAAGCATATGTGGGTGTGCATTAATGGTCAAATTATATACTTTGTGTGACAGGGAATACTTTACCTTCAAAGGTCCATAAGGAGAGAGGGGAATGACATTTTTTTCCTTTACCTGTAATAACATTTTCAGTGTATTCTGATCATCCTCAATTATTTTTCATAAGCCCCATTCCAGGGTCACAGCAGTGGTTGAGAAATTTGCATATATAGAGAGATGCCTCTTCAGAACATAAAACTGTGGAAATACAACCCTTATGAGCCAAACTCTGCTTTCAGTTAAATCAGTATACTCTGGTTTCCAAGGTTAATTATGGACTTCAGTGGAGTGTTTTGAGATTTATGATGAATAAAGACCACAAAATATGATCCTACAAGATTGTCATGAGTAGAATGGTACAGATGTGAGAAATACAGAACTCCTTGTGTCACTAGGGAACAGGGTGAGACTCTTAGATCAGTTGTACCACTGATAAGATAAATCATTGTGTGCTAATATTCTAAGAACTGTTACAGACCATACTTTGTGAAGCAGACATGTAGGAATGTTTCACCAGAAAGAAAATGAAAGAGTAACCTACCAACTAGTAAGGTTCTGAAAACAAACTGTTTTACAAATAAAAAAATGGATAGCTATATGAATGACAGCTGCGAAGTAAAACAAACTTTTAAACAATGTATATGAAATAAGGCAGCACCTGCAGCAAAATAAATGAATAGTTGCTTAGTGATACTGAATTAAGATGACCAATTTGCTAGGTAAGAGGTAATGATTTAAAATCATAATAAGCACATATTAAAGTAGCACAGAATTCCCAAAATTTAGACTCTTAGGTTTAAAAAGCTATGGGTAAACTTTGGTTGCAGGTTGTGCACTCTCAACAGATGCAACCATGGATATGATTACCAGATGTTTTTTTTCCAAGCCTTGCCCACAAGGGGAAATTTGTTAGTATAGTTCTGCTGATTTAACTCCCCCTGGGTACACTTATTTTCTTTAAATTTAGAATATATTTTTAGGCCAGTTTGTCTCTTTGGCTAGGAGCAGCCATTATTTGTTCCTGGACAAGTTGTGCCTGTTTGTCCCAGAACAGAAATATCTGGGGATTGGCATGTGTGCACACCTATTCAGGGTTTTAGTTGTGGCTGAATGCATACCCTCTCTTCTGCTACTGATTCAATGGTGCAATCCCAGGTCAACTGTACAGGTGCACTTTGTGATGTCCTAGGATAAACCGCAAGCAGTTATCATGAAAACCTTTTTAAGCTTCATCCCAGGACAGGGATGCCTGAATCACTTTCCCAGGATAAGCCATTTTATCCTAGGACAAAAATGCAATGTCTATTTGCAGCCTTTGGAAGTGGTTAAAGCACTAAAGCTAAATGTGGTCTGTTTTGACTGTAAGAGGGTTTTACACAGCCCCACAGAGAGATGAATACTGAGGCACACACATTTCTTTGTGTGCACCATATCTTTGTAACAGGACGCTGGATATTTCTCTTCTGCATCTGGCAGTCCCCGAGTTGGACTGGGATAGAATGGTTGCAGGAATTCAGAACTGAGCAATATTAACTGATCCACCTGGGAGCACTTGCACAGCATCTTCCTGCATGACACATGACTCGAATCATAGAAAAATTAGGGTTGCAAGGGACCTCAGGAGGTAATCTAGTCTAACACCCTACTCAAAGCAAGACCAACCCCATCATCCCAGCCAAGGCTTTTAACAGCGTTTCTCAACCCATGGGTTGCAAGAACATATGCAAGGATCACAAACTTGAAAAATGGATTCTTTTTTAAAAGAGAAAAAGATGGGTAATTATGGCTTGTCCCTTGCAGTCTTCCAGCCTGCAAGAGGCTGCCCCCCCCCCACACACACACTTGGGGCCTGGAGGCAGCAGGTCAGGAGTGAGGAGCACTGGGTCATGACTGGCCATCAATGTTTACAAATAGGTCCTGGTACAAAAAGTTTGAAAAGCATGAGTCTAGTGGGTCTTAAAAACCTCCAAGGATGGCAATTGCAGTCCCTCTCTGGGGAACCTATTCCAGTGCTTTACCAACCCACCTACTGAGACAGTTTTTCCTAACATCTAACCTCAACTTCCCTTGCTGCAACTTGAGACCATTGCTCCTTGTTCGGTCACCTGCCATCATTGAGAAGTCTAGCTCCATCCAATTTCAAACCTCACTTTAGCTAGTTGAAGGCAACTATTAGACCCCCCTCAGTCTTCTTTTCTCCAGGCTAAACAAGCTGGGTTCCCTCAGTCCTGACTGCCCCAGGCTCCCCTAGCCATCTCCTTTTCCCTAATCAACCTGACCCGCCATGACTTTGGCCTCCTCTAGCTTGGGACACGTTTGCCCGCTCAGGCCGCTCTCACGTGCCTGCCACTGCCGAGTCCCTGCAGCAGGTGCCCCCCAGGCAAAGCGGCGACACAGGAACATCGCTGTCCCCCGCAATGAGGGGCCGCCCATAGCCCTTTCGTGCGGACAGGCTGGGGGAAGGGAAGAGGCCACGCGCTCCTCCAGCAGGCGGGGGCAGCTCCAGCAGGCGGGGGCAGCTCCAGAGCCTCCAGCTCCCAGCATGCCGCGCGCCTCAAGGTTGAACGACCCGGGCCCGCGCCCCTGCTACACGGCTACAAGTCCCGTCCCCGCGCCGCCCGGCCGCTC